CTCTAACATGTTAAGCCTGTTCACCACTTGGGCCATTTTCACAAGTCTGAAATGCTTGACAATGTAGTTTCATGTGGTTACTTCCTTCTTTTCAAGTTTCAACTCAAATGATATCTGTTTGGTGGCCTTTCTGGATCTCCAAATCCAAGTTAGTCATCCACTCAGGTCATTCTCCATAATTTCCACCTATTTTATGATCATTGCAGCATTTCTTCTTTTTTGAATTATCTTGCTTAGTTAATGCTGTTTTGAATGTTATCAATCTTCCTATCTCTGGCGTCTACTATGCCCTCTTCCATTTTTCTAGAGTGATAAATTCTGGAGAATAGAAACTTTGCCTAGTCTATTCCTGAAAATTCAAACCTAGGATAGTACCTGACATTCTAAAGAATGCTCATAAAGATTTGCTGAAGGAATAAAGTATTACAGTACTAAAGAGAGGTAATGTGTAATGTAGGACTGTGTCACTTAACAGATCTGAGTTTCAGTGGTCTCATCTATAAAATACAAATTATAGACAAATTTCTAGGCTGGAAACCAAGTGAGATGATCTATTGTGATGTTTCTAGTTCTAAGATCTATGCTGGCAGTGGTCCTGGATTCTAATTTAGAGGTTTCATTTATTTCAGAATTTTTCATAGTATTTTAAACTGTGGACTTTAAAATGTAAAAGATGGAAACTGCTTACACTTCTTTTTCTAACTGTATCTATAAAAGCTCTATCCTTTACCAATTACCCTCCTACACAAGAGGAAAGGGTACCCTCAGGTTGTTCTCTCCATATATACTTCAAATGCCCTCCAATACAAGATTCTCAGGAATCCTCAATAGCTTTACTCATTCATTATCTTTTGCATTTTTGCAGTACTAGGATTAAAATCAAGAGTTCATACATCCTAGGCAAGTCTTTAGTAGTATTTCCTTCAGGCTCTTTCTTTTCACCTGTAAATAGCTTAGGAACAAATAGAAGAAACCACATACAATAATCCTTCCCCCTGTAAAATCTTCCAGTATTGTCCTTTTCTATCACTTGTTACCAAGATTCTGACAAAGGGGGTCCTATTCACTTGCTATTAATTTTTGCAGCCATTTTAGATTGACAATAGTTTGGCCAATATCTGACTTACTTGACATCATCAATATATTCAGTGACTCATTTTCAGTTCTCCATATAGTTTACATCTCTACTATCTTTGACACCTTCTTCTTCAATTATTTTTACTTTCCTAGTTTACTGCCCTTAATGAGGAGGTAGAAGTTACAATGCTAGGATAATATCCAATGCCAACAAATTTTTTCCATGTCTTATAAAACTTTTCAATATCCTGCCAGTCATTTGTATGTGTAAAAAACAAATTTAAAGTCACTCAGCCTTGAAACTAGGATTTAAGTGTAAGCACATTTACTTTTTCACATTTTCATATTCATTAAATTTAGGAAATCTACCATGTGAATTTAGAGAGGATTAAATTATTCTATGTGGACTTTTACTAAAGATTTTCATCATCTCATAAATTTACATCTTTAGCAGCAGGATGGGGATTTGTATATATATCACAGCATTAGTCTACATCTGTACACCTTAGAATCAGAGTTCATACATGTATCCATGTAGATACACATATATGTGTATACTTGCACATATAGTGATACACACATAAACATACATGTACATGTATTTCAATCCTTATAATAAGATGCAGATACGAACATCTAATAATATTAAATTGAATATTGCATCTAGTGTTCAAATACAAGCTTACTCATTAAAACAAGGTAGGAGTGCCTGAGATCTTCATTGTAATCATTTAATATACATACGCTTGAACCATTTACACAGTAAACTAGATGTTATTTTATTAGAATAGTATTTTTTATTTTTGATGTTAAGGGTAGGGTCATTATATATTAGACTTTAGAAATTATATGTACAAAATTATATGACTGTCATTTGATAATAATCAAAGGACTTTTCCTCTAACTGCAATTGTCCATCTAGAAAACTCCCCCGGTAATAAAAAACTACTCATTCCATGCTTTTGCATCATTTTGCACACAATGCTAGAAAAGTATTTTGGTAGTTTTAGCACTAAGACAGTACTCTATCTGTCAATGTGCTGGCCGCCCCTTCTAGACTTCAAGCCTCCAAGCAAGTGTTTTCTGTATTGTTCTCTTCTGTAAACACAGACTCTAATGCACTGACTTGCACATAATAGATTCTCAATAAATGCTAATGGAATGAAGGAATCTACTCGGGGAGGAGGTTTTTATAATTCTTTCCTGAACTGGCAAAATGAATTACATCAAGTTTTAGAATATTACATAGAACTCGGAAGAGGAAAGCACATAATTCCAAGCTGCTTTTCTATAGGAGAGATCATGTGCCCTGGGTTTTGTCAGCTTGCTTTGCTGTCTACCATTGAGGTCCTCTGGGACACTCTGAAGCATTGTCAAGAAATTCTAGCTTGAAACCATTCAACTAATCTCTCATTCGAGTTCCCTCTAGCTCAAAACTTGTCACTTATTCTATGTCAGACATCTCAGAGTAATTTTTTTCATATTCATATGATAAAACTTCCCAAATAGCACATTGGAATTGGAATTTAAGATCTCTTTTTCTCTGGAAAGCATTCTTTTCTTTTTTATTGGAGACAAAACCAGATGGTGAGTATTTGTAATACACTTATCACTTGATGTACATTTTTGAAAAAAAATTTATTCTGAAATATGACTGTGTACTAAAAAGCGTAATTGTCATACAATATAGTTTCTAAACAGCTTATAATATCACATATAGTGTGTCTGTAGAGGTAATATTGTCACTCTTGCAAAAAGTATGAAGTAGTCCAATTGCATTACTTGTCTTTTTTTTGTTGTTGTTTTTATTTTGGTGTACTAAGAATTGAACTGAGCTGTATCTCCAGGCCTTGCATTGCTTGTCTTCTTGTTACCCTTTTAGCACTAAAAGGTATCTTTTACCCAGACTGATATGTTAATTCTGTATGTCTTTCCAGACTCACCCGCTCTTGCTATCTTTGACATTTAGCTACTTCATCTCATCATATATCCTGTGAACATGTGTACATGTGTACATAACCCTATAACTTTCACAACCCTGTACTGTCCCTATAATTGTCACTAAAACATCTCCTTTTTTGCCTTTCATTTTTTTCAGATTTTCTTTGTTTTGCAGCCATCTAATCTAATAACTGCTAAACATTAATGGACAGTAGATATTTGCTGAATAAATAAGTGCATTTATGGATTAAAGTGCTCATGTGTAAGTTTCTAAGGGAAAATTTTATTAGGAGAGAGGAGCTTTAATCCAAAAAGACAGGAAGGGGAAGAAAAGTAACTTTTGGTTTATGTATTTTAACTTTTGAGAGAATGATGTTTTATTGTTTTTATCAGCAGGTACAGGCCAGGGATATAGCTCAATGGCATGAGCACCTGCCTGGCAAGCATAAGCTCCTGAGTTTGATTCCTGGTACCAAAAAAGAAAAGAAAATCTCTGTCTTTTGGCTAAGATCAAATGTGGTACCAGCAGGTGCTTATGTGATGTAATTATATGGATCTCTCTTTTTAAGAGACTCAAAGATGAATAATGATGAAGTATTTTTTAATTTTAAAATAAAAGAATGAAAACATACTAATAGTATTTCACTTTCTTGTCTTTTAGTTAAAATCCAAGGTTAGGGGTATTTATTAAAAGTTTAACTAGTTCAACAAGTTATTTCTTTTTTTGGATGTAGGATTTTTTGAGTTTCAAAGGTATTGTTTCATTAAAGTCTCAAATTAATTACCATGACCAACAACAACGTGAGAGGAAAAGGTACTATTATTGCCATTCTTTTACAGATAATGAAAGGACATCTTGAACTTTGTGAAAGTTTTATACAATCCAGGGAGAGCGTTTTATTCCATAGTCCTTTTAGCTGACCCAAAGTTTGCCAGCATATTCTGGAGGAAGGAGAGTTTCTAAATCTATTGATTTCCCTTGGCAGAGAAGGATTCTTTTTCTGAAGCCATCACTGGCTAGAAAGCAATCATCTATTGGCATCTGATCTCCTCTTGAGAAGAAGATAACTAAACAAAGAAAAGATCATGAAGGATTCTTATTTGGAAAAGGACAATGGAAAGCCAGGCATGGTGGTGCACTTCTGTAATTCCAGCAATTGGGAGGCTGAGGATCACTGTGAGCTGGAGGCCAGCCTGGTCTACAAGGTGAGTTCAAGGCCAGCCTAAACTGCACAGTGAAACGCTGTCTCGAAAAATAGAAAAAAGAAAATGAAAAAGAAAAGGACAATGGATTAAAAAAATTCAGCACATTGAATTTATCTTCTTTCAACCTACATCAGTGCCATTTGTAAATCTTTCCAGTATAAAACCCTGGAAACATATACAATAAAAAATTAATGACAATTAAATGGAGGAGATTTTTTAGGATAACTTAATTTAATTTAGATCAAAGAGTCCTTTGAGAATCTGATTATAGTTATGAACACTCTATATCCAGAAATCTTCAACTTTATAAGGAATTTTGAAGATTAAAAATTTTTTTTCAACATGGATTCTATTTGGGAGAAAGGGTTTTTGGACAAGGCATTTAAAGTGTCCTCTTCAAATCACAATAATGAGATAAGAAAGATACAAATTTAATGTTTGACAAGTTTACACCCATGAACTTAATATATAGGTTCTTCATATCTTGGGAATGCGATGTGATATATATATATATTTTTTGTATGTATATGTATATACATATATATATATATATCACTTGTTTGACAGTTTAATTTGTTGGCTAAAAGATGGAGAATATTTTGCATCTCTTAGTAAAAATAGAAGGAATTTAAATTATTTGCAATGAAAAAAGTTTCATCTCATTTTATAGAGTTTCCAAGTGAAAATGAATTTCATGTGTGAAATATGGGAAGTTTATAAAGCAACCACTCTTTTGAAGTTTCTTTCAGAAAATAAGATGCTTAAGCAGCTCTTACCTCATCAGAACCTGATCCAAAAATCAGCAAGTCAAAAGGGATTGCTGCCACCATGTCAATCAGGAACCAGCCTTTGAAGTAGTGAATCGCTATTTTGGCGGGGTCACTTACCACTTCTTCATTCTGATTTACATATGTCGTTCTGAAGTTTATTAGAATATCTATGATAAACATAATATCCACAATCAGGTCTACTACATTCAAAGGACTACAAGAATAGCCACATTCTCGTCTCTTCTGTTCTTCTCTGTCATTGAGGAGAAAGGCTGCAGAGTAGGGCGTGAATATTGCAGTGTATATAACCAGAAGCAGAATAAGCCAGTCCCAGACTGCCTTGAAGGGACTATAGTGCAATATTGTAAATTTGTTGATGCGTGGTGTCTGCAGTTTATATTCTGGCAGGACATCTGCTCCCAAAGAAAGGACCTGAACATAAAGAAAAGCATATAGTATATAAAATTATTATTATTTAATCTAGTAATCTTATTACGATAATTACATAGCAAAACCTGTTAGGATTTATGTAATCTTGAAGCATGTATGTAAAGTAGACATATATTTAGGTAAATTCATATAAACCTTTGTTATGTGCAATGTTCGTTCAAGAAAACATCATTATAGTTCTTAATCTAATTTTCATTAAGAAATAATATTCCTGAGATACCGAAGAATAGTGATTATTCCTTTGGAACAGTACTTTCAAAAGAAAAGAAACTCAAGATTAGTTTTAGAAAATCATAAAATCAGTTTTGAAATATGAGTAATAATTCAATTTCAAAATCTAAGAAAGGATTGACTGTAATGAATAGAAATATACTTGGATCCCAGGTCATATTTGACTTACCTATATTTATCATATAATTTAAACTTGGTAAATTAAAAATAACTTATTCAATATGAAATGAAGTAGTTTTCTACTTGCAATTTTTTTATCATGGGGTTAGGGAGAAGCAAATGAGATTAAAATAAAAGAATTTTTCTCTAAATTATGAGAAGGTATTTTATAATATGGGACAAATACACTGTTACCCAAACTCTTCCATGAAATTTAGAGAATTCTGAAAGAAAAATGCTGAAAGAAGATGTTTATAAAATTGATTTGAAAGTGTTCTAAGATTCTTAGCCCCCAAGGAGTAGATAAGCCTTAAGATATATTCTACTTCATAAAGTATTGGGCAAACTAAAATAGTTCACCATTTAAAGGTTTTGTTTATCTGAGAAAAATGAAAGCTAAATTTAATATGTAGCCCTACAAAATAGACAAATCTATTGTTTTGTGTTTTCAGATCAAGTTTCAAAAACACAAGTTAAACAGAAAGGTTATCTCACAAGAAAAACCATTTTAAGGCAAATATGAATGACCATCTTAGAATCTCAATTCCCCGCATATACAGTGGTTCTATTTCAAATATAATTTCACAAAATACATTTTTTGGACTAGATTCTTCTAAACAAGTAATAGACGCATCATGGCTTTACAGCATGAACTCAAGGTAATTTCCTATTGCTTAGTCAGAATAGTCTGTGTTTTTGGTAATTCTCCCTACTGTGGTGTAACCTTGGTTATAGCAACGAAGGAAAACTTCAACTGTAAATCATATTAATATTGCCATATCTCATAACTTTTCCCCCATACAAGTTACTATCTTCATTTTAAAAAGAATTTCAGAAGTTAACCCCAAATGTGATGTAACATAACTTTTAAATTAACACAAGAATCCACCTACAATAGACAAAATTGCTTTTAGACAACAGTTAAACTGATTTAACTTTGGAAAAAAAATAACCTGACTTGATCATTTAATAAACCACAGGTAAGGCTGAATCACTCAGTTTTTGGAGGAAATAGGGCTTTCTCTTAAGCTATTGGGAGAAGAGAAGAGCTTATTTTTAGCAAAACAAAAATATGAAAAATAAAGCGAGTTCATTATCTATAAACTTTTAAAAATCCATACAATCCAAGGTATATATTTAAGTATGCAATTTGAAAATTAAAATAAAGTGTTTAAATTATCCTTCATTTAATAAGTACAGATAAATCTCTATGCTGAGCTCTCTGATCCCACTGTGATTAGTACCAGAGATCAGTGTGATCTGGAAGAATAGATGAGCACTTCTTCAGGTGCCCTTCTGAAATGCAATCTTCCTTTCTCAAAAAGCAGGGGCTACTCAGTTTGTACATAAAATCTAAAATCTTATTTTGTCTTCAAAGTCATTTCAAAATATGTACCTGTTATGTCTTTCCAGCTTCTTTCCCTGTAGCCTCCTCTATGAGTGATGAGTACTCTTGTGAAACACTAGTAAATTTGTGCTGCTTAGATCTTTCCAAATCCTTAATCCACAAATTACTTTTATTAAAAGGAGACTATAACTATCCAAAGAGAACAAAAAATCATTTGAAAGACAGAAATGTTTATCTGAGCTTTCTCCCTGCTTAAGTGACACGCTTCTGATACCAACTGCCCACATTAGGCAATTTTAATATCTGCTCTGCCAGAAGCGTACATCAGAATGTGTGCCGCATCTTGGAATCTCCTCTGAGAAGTAAAAACTGGCTAGAACTCTTTCTATCACATGCAGACAGATGTTTACTTAACATGTAGATGACATTGTGTTAAGAGCTGAATACTGAAAAATGGAGAAGACATTGTCTTGACATCAGGGAGCTTATGGTCTCTTGAAAGTCAGATTATTCACAAAAATAATAGCTTGTGAAGGACCACTTCACTCCTAATGTGAGGTTGGCGGTGGAGCTGATATGGGGGAGGGATCTTCATAGGAGACTTTTAGGAAAAAATGGCAGTTAAACTGAGACTTTGAGCAGAAGTTAGAAGTGCAAGCAGCTGTGCCATGGGGAAGTTGAAAGGGAAGGACAGTACAAGAGGAAGAGGCAAGGGAAAAGAAACATAAAATAGTATTTTGTGCCTTGGAGAATTGTAAGGGGACCTGTTTTGCTAAAAGATAAAACAGAAAGGAAATGGTTGGGGAAGATATCAGTAGAGCTGGAAGAGCCAGGCTGTTGATGGTCTAACGTAACACAACGGAGACCGTAATTTTAAGCTTTCAGTTAAGGTTTCTCACATGTGAATAATGTACAGACTCCTTTTAAAGATAAAGGTAATTATTTCAGAACCCTAATAATTATTTCTTTATTCTTATTTGTAATGTTCAAAATAGAACAAAGTTAAACTATTTTATACTTATTCCTCTCAACATGGCTGGTATGGGTTAAACCGTGTACCCCCAAAATGCTGAAGTCCTCGTCTCCAGGATCTACGAATGTGACCTTATTTGAAGTAGTGTTCTTACAGATATACTTAAGATGAAGTCACAGGGGTTTACAGTAGGCTCTGATCCAATGGCGGATGTCCTTACAGGAAGAGGAATGTGGATACAGAGAAACAAAGACATGTAGGGAGAGTCCCAGAGGATAACAGAGGCAGAAGCAACTGCAAACAAGGGAAAGCCAAGAACTGTTTGCAGCCACCAGAACCTAACAGAGAGACTGAAACACATTTTCCGTCAGAATCTCCTGAAGAACTAATCTTACCAGTGCACTGATTTTGGACCCCACAATTCCATTGTTTTAAGACAACTAGCACTTAATTACTGCAGCTTACAATGATGAAATGAAAACAAATTATAGAACATTTATGAAACCAGTCAATTCAAGCTACTATCACTAATTCAATATTTGAGAATTTTATAGGTCATAAAGAATGGAATTTGGGTTTTTGTCTATAGTTTAATGTAATATGTAAAGTTTTTCTTTTATAACCTTAATGCCTTATTGCACAATTGTTATAACAGTGTTAAATATCAAAGATTTAACTATTATGCTAGAGTAATCTAACCTAATCCATATGACAAACCCTTCTGCCATTCTTTGACAGCCAATATAAATGGTATTAGTTGACAGTTGTATAAGAGGTTTTGTTTATTTGAAATTAACTTTAGCTGTAGAGCTTTATTGACCTCTACATTAAGTGATTATTTATTCAGCTCTCTGGAACTTGGTTTAATATGTAGTTTATCTATTATATTCCAATATATCTATTGCTTAAGAATTATTCCAGGTTGGTATCTACAGTAATATGTGTTTTATTGATGAACAGGTAGTGATTGGTATGTTCTGGTAAAAGATCTTCTAATCTCTGCATGGCTGTGAATACATTATATGATCCTAAAATCACCATATGACTTTTACTTGCCAAAATCTTCAGCAACTTTTATATATACAGCCTGCTTTGGTGTCATGAGTCTCAGTATAAATGCAAATGTAGCATTGAAACCTGAAGGCAGAGAGTATAGGACATAGTTCAGAAATAAATGCCTGTCAGGATATAAAGATTAGGATTGGAGAAGTATTTTTTCTTCCAGTTCCACTAATAATTTTTTCCAGAATTAGGTATGGCAATAGAAGTCTCAGAAGCCTCAATAAACAAATAAGGAAAGAACACTTGTCTGTAAATATAAAGATCTGAGTCTGAATTCTAAATATGACTTTTTAGTAAGTTATCAGTTTCTCTGGATCTTGGTTTTTTCCACTGTGTGATGAATATTGTCATTCTTGGCCAAATCACCTGTCTATAGAGACAGTGCATCACATCAGATAATTCCTACAACATTAGGTAATAAAATGGGAAATGTCTACATGCACTTAAAATATTTTCTTTATTGTTTATCTTTCTAGGGTCACTTGCTTATATCTTGTTTCAAAAAAACCAATTATAAACAAAGCATTTATGAACCAATTTGAGAAAGCTGAAAATTGACTGGATATTACTGTTAAGCAGTTTTAGTTTTCCACTCTTTATAAGAAACTAAGTAAAAACTGAGTGACTTTATAGATCAGAAATTTAGGCAAAGCATGGTTGGGCAACACTTCTGCTCCACAAAATATAAACTGGATTTACTGATAGTTAGCTGGTGACTGTGCTTGTGTGGAGAATCCAAGAAAGTTTCAGGCCCATGTACACACACGTACACACACACACACACACACATACACACACACACACACATTCTCTCTTCTGAATGAGATGACTTATGTGGAGACTAGTACTCACAAGAGGTGTAAACATTTCTAATTCTCTTAAAGTTCAGGTCTGAAATTGCTAGACCATAATTTCATCTATAATCTATTGGCCAAACAGACTAGGCCATCCCAGATTCAAAAACGTAGAACATTCCTTACCATTTGATAGAAGACTGACACGAATATGGAAAGGAAGAAATCAATTATGGTGATTTTGGAGGGAAACTATTGAAGAAATTACTGACAATCATATTTTTAGCTGTGATGGTTTTGTAGGTATGTTTAAAAAATAGTTCTTACCTTTTAGGAGTGTAAAGTGAATTATTATATGTGAAACACTAATATTGAAGATTTTCAAAATGTGGGGGTTCAGAAGTTCTGATTTTAT